AGAATGATGCCACTGAAACCTAGATCAGTAATAATGAAAAGTAGAAAACGTGAAATTCTTGAGAGCATTGAAAATTTACCAGGTATACTTTTGATTTATTCTTTTAGATTTATTCTTATATAAGAGACAAACAAACATACAAACAAATTTATAATAATATAAGGATAATGTTTTTTAATGAAGAACTATATTATTGTCTTTCATGTTTCAGATCCATCTTCAGAGTGTTCATTAACCACAGAAACACATGATTCTCAAAATATTGAAATATCCAATGATAAAGGTGTACAAGTATCTATATATCCTTATAAACGATCAAAACAAATATCCAATGATAAAGGTGTACAAGTATATATATACCCTTATAAACGATCAAAACAAGTTCAAGTACAAATGAAAATACCCCAAAAGACTGTAGCTTTATCACCTAAGCAAGTCAATGTTAGGGATTGTAAAACATCACCAATAAAACTAAATAAGTATAAAATTCTTCATTGTAATGACTCTAGTGATAGTGACAGTATCAGGAGTATATTTAAACCTGAAGAGGAGACTGATAGTACTTCAGAATCTGTTTTAAGTGGATGTAAAGAGCTAAAACAAAGACAGTTATGTGAAATAACAATGGGTCGAATAATGGCACAGCCTCAGTTGTACATAGGGGTTCCATTTTCTAGCAATATTCTTGTAGAACTTCTACAAAAACACTTAAAATGCAATCTTTATCATATTTGCTTAGTTTTAAAAAAGCTACGACTGAATGAATCATTTTCTATTTTAGCAGAAGATTTTGATATACATGCAACTACAGCAAGCAGAATATTTTCAAGAAATTGTTGGAAAATGGCTGAAGTATTAAAAAAGTTTATTATTAAACCATCACGAGAGTCAGTTCTTGCCAATTTGCCAATTAGCTTCAGAAATTCCTATTCCAAAACTTATTGTATAATTGATTGCCTCGAAATAGAAATAGAAGTTCCTAGTGATGCAGTACACCAGTCTCTAACCTATTCCTCTTATAAGAAGTGCAACACTTTAAAATATTTAATATCTTCAACACCAGACGGGGTTATAAACTTTATCTCAGATGGTTTTGGTGGCCGAACTTCTGATTTAAAAGTTTTTCAAGAATCTGGATTTATGGACATTTTACCACCTGGAGCTTGCATCATGGCAGACAGAGGCTTCAAGCACATAGAAGGAGTGTTGGCAAAAAAGCAATTTCAATTGATAAGACCACCTAGTGTTAGCAACACTAAGAAAAGTACAAAAGATGAGGTAATAAAATCAAAGAAAATTGCAAGCCTTCGAATTCATATTGAAAGAGTGATTAGAAGACTGCGCGAATTTGCGTTACTAAAACCACATGCCTGTGTTGATCATTTTCTTGTTCCCCATTTAGATTATAGCATAATCATTTGTTCTGCGCTTGTCAATTTGCAATCACCTTTAATTAAAATGGAATAAAAAAATAGTATTTACAAAGCATAGAATTTTATTTTATAAATTTACAAAAACAAAATATGCTTAAATATTATATATTACTTTTAATTTTGGATATACAGCATCTATCCAGAATTTCTTTGCAGCATTCATAACAGATACAATGCTGTCATCATATGGCACATTATAAATATCTACTTCTTTTGATTTTTCAAAGTTTGGGTGTGCTATACAAAAAAGTGCCATTTTCCTTTTGCTGAAAAACATTTGAAGTTGTACTTGTGTCCAACATTTTGGTGTTATTTTATTGTCTTTCACATAGTTAAGTATGGTAGCTTCTGTTGAAGGACATTTCACCTCTATTGTGTAATTTTCAGTAAGCCCGTCAGGTGTTACACCAAAAATAGGATACTCGGCATTAAGAAGAAGTCCAGCTTCTTCAATTTTAATCTGAAACGCAGATCGTAATAATATAAATAATATTAATTTATACAAAGGCCTTAAACTAGACATTACAAATTCTTTTATTCAAAATATTTAAACAACAGAAAAACTAATGAAGTTACTTTTTCTTTTTTGCTCACTACTTCGAGAACTTCTTTTTCTAGTTTTTTCCCTCTAGCCATCGCAATGGAAGTAAATTTTGAATGTTCTCCCATAATTTTGTTCAAAAGGGAACCAATTTTAGTTCTACAGTGAGCGGCTTCATGAAGAATTGAGCCAGTAATTCTTCCGTATCTGTAAAAATAGAAAAATAAAAATCTGTTGTTTACAGTAAATATGCCAATCAAGTTTATGCTATGTGGGTATGATAGTGAGTTTGTTTGTGCAAATTTTTCCTTTTTTACATATTTCTGCAAATACTTCTTCTTTATCGTGATAAATACAATAAACAAAACTAAGCTAGAAGCCTTTACTACTTGCCTCAACTCAAACCACAATGGTGTATCGCTCTGATTTTTGGTGGTGGAAAAAATCATATTAATATTATCAGTGGTCATTTGGTTTGATAATATTTCAAGAAATGATTGTGGAGAGTCCAACTTCCCAATCAATCTTGAACACAGTTTATGAATGCTTATAGTTTGTTGGTTTTCTTGAAAGTAGTGAAGAATACTCGCTTGACAATCTCTTTTTTTGACAGCATCTAGAAATTCACTTAAAATATCCACCTAAAAATATGCAATATATTATTGGAACACATTTAAGAAATTCTTCAAATAAAAAACTACATACTTGAGAAAAACTGTTAGTGACTGAAATATGACCCATTTCTTTGGCTTTTATAAAAGATTTTCCTGAAGCACATGTAGATAATTTAGACTTCTTCCAATAACATGTGACGGACGTAATCGGAGGGTCCTCAGATCTTCTGTGCAACCATAGCAATAGTGCAGCAGCATGCTTACACCCACCTAGAAAGAAATTTTAGTCATAATAATCCGTTCCACATACAGTTTAACTATTAAAAATGAACTTAATTCTTTTCAAACAGTTTAATTATTTGAAAATAACTTTAATTCTTTACCTTCAGAAGCTGCACAATCTTCACATTGGCAGGACTGAACCAAGCTTTGAGTTTCATTTAAAATAACTGTAACACGGTAACCTTCTTTACGTACTTTATGCTCCGGAGTAACTCGACTTTTTACTGTACATAATTCTCCATCTCTTAATTTGGACATAGCCGATTGCGTAATCGCCGTAAGATTCTCTTGTTGAGCTGAAATAACTGTTATGTGTAGAAGCCGCTGAATAAAATACAAAGTTTAACAACTGTGATTTATACATACCGTAGTAATTTAGTCCCTTTCATTTCTACACTTGAAAACTCTGCACTTTGGACAAAAAAAGTTACAACCATGTCAACACTAACTCTTGGTAAATTCCTGGAGTCTGCTTTGATAAACCCAACTTCCATTTTTATTAAAAAACGCAATTAATATTCCCTTAAAATAATATTCACTTTTACAACCATAACCTCAAATAAGTTGTCATAACAGCGGTGTTGCCAGGTCCGATTTTCAAAAATCGGGAGTCGTTATAGAAAAAAACAGTAGATAATTATTAATGACGGAAAATGCAACTCAACATGCAATTTAAAAAGAAAATCGTGTTCTAAAAAAACAGGAGATACATGTAGAAAAACAGTAGAACAGGAGAAATTTCAGAAAAACAGGAGATCTCCTGTAAAATCTGAGACCTGGCAACACTGTATAACAGGAGTGACGTCACGAAACGCTGATTGGTGTTTTAAATTACGTTTCGTTTCAGTCATTTTTAATTCGTAATTATTATTAAAAAACAACATTTTGTAAAATAAAAACGTTGCAGTGGCCCTTCTTTTATATTTTTTTAACATTTTAATCATAAAATTTTCATAAATATTATATATGCATCTTCCCTATTGCATTAAAAACTTTCTTAACACAATTTAAATGCTCAGCTATTCTTCTGTACGCCCACTTTAGATCTATATGTAAATTAACAATTATTTGCTTAGTTGACGCGTCACAACTTTTATATTTGCCCATTTTGAACAAAATAAAATTCAGATTAAATTTTGAATTGCCGCCAAAAATGAAATGTTATGCTTCAATTTCAAAAAAAGAAAGAGCTATGGATGCTTTTTTAATTTTTTTCTAATTAGGCGTCCAAGCGGCCAGTAACAGAAAACAAACTCCTACATGTGTAAGACTCATTTTGTAATTAAAAGTAAGATATGTTTTATATTTTATGCATTTATTGAGTTTTTTTATTTGAGTGGCTATATTATTGCATGATTATTAATTATTAAATGTGTATATTTTTTCGAACATGTGTTGTTATACTTTCTTTATTCATAAGAAGTGTTTCTAATTATATGACCACCACTGTGTTTCTTAAGTAAAGCTTTCTGAAGATAACAATCATAAGCTTTTCGTGCATTAAAGTACACGATAGGATTTAATTTTGTCATTATTGTAAAATGGTTAATGGATTGGTAAAAAGGCTGGGATGACGGGATGAGTAAACAGTATGTACGCATTTCACGCGTGTTGTTTTAGCAGCCTGCTCGGAGATGAGGCGAGCGAGACGCGTTGACAAGTAGACTGGCAGTTTGCGTATATTTTATGCGAGAAAGCGGAGCCCGGAAGAGTCACGCCGATAGCTTACGGATTTAGCCTCGCTGCATTTAGACATGTGAGATCACCCAGCGCATTACGTTTAGTACATACAGAACGCTCTGTGGAACGCTTTTGTTACAATCTCCAAATGCAACACGGTTTAAAATGATTGAGTCATTAGTCAGCATTTTTAGAAGATAAAAATGACGGTGAAAGTATTTTCGAATATTGGAAAAATATAATTAAAAGTATGGAAAAGTTTTTTCTTTAAATATTAAATTTAGGAACTTCTGAAAAAGTACAATGTTTTTTTGGCGGTTCATTTGTATTTTATTAGCACCAGATTCTTTACTAAGATAAGCATCACTGTTGAAATTACTCGTAATTTAATGGTGTGGCATTGGAACTAGGTGGCCCGGTGCAAAAAAAACTTGTGTCACGGAAACTTACATGAGAGTTGACGTTGTTGGGCGGGTGATTGCGCGCTGCGTCCGCCGCCAGCGCCGCAAGCGGCAGCCGCGGCTTTGTAGACAGCGCGTTGGTGCGAGGTGAGGAAGCACATTTTACAGCAGCCTGGAGACAATGGAAATTTACTGTTTTTACAGCAGAAATATTTCAGACATTTCAAAGAATAGCAGAGACGTTTTGTATATGTATTTTTTCAGTAATAAAACAAGTTTAACTTAAATCTTTATGGGGATTCCGATGGGCTTTTTCGCAAAAAGGTAGCAAATAAGCAAATGACCTGCCTGTAGGTAAGCGGGTAACATACACTACTCAAATTTTCAAAATTATTATTACTAATAGTAATTTGAGATTACTTTCTATAAACAAACTAACTAGGTATACCCCTTTATAATATTTTAATCATAGAAAATAATAACAACCTATTATATAAAAAAAATACTAATGAATGCCGTAGAGCCAAGAGTTTAAATCTTATTAACAAAATGAACCGAGAGTGACTGCCGAGTAGAATAACTCATTCAACCCACCATAAACTTGCAAACATTCTCGGGTAGATCGTTGAGAAGCGCACGAATTTTCCAGTCTAAGTTAGTGATATTATGGTCCCACTTAATCATACTTAGTCCCGTCCGTTTGGCTGACTATGCATGAGTCGAGTCGAGACGCGAGTACGTATAAGTACCCTAACTAGCTTCTCGTTTAAGAGCTTTGCATGTTACCGAGCGGTAAAGAACTTGTAAACCTCGCTGAATAGTTTACTAGATAGAGTAAACACACTTGCAGGCAGAGAACTTACCTGCTGTCAACAGAAATTAAATTATTATATAAGACGGATATATTAAACTATCTGCCCCCCTTCCTATAAAGCATGACCATCAAAACGCGATAAAGCGATTTTTCTAGATTGACTGTCAAACTACAATGTAAGTTTTCAGTTTGGCTTTGACATAGTTTTGGGGACTACATCAATTTATGCGAAAAAACAACAGAATAATTCTAACATACATAAAGAAAACTTAAGGACAAGCAACTACAAGCAATACATTTCCTATATCACCTTATAGTAATATAAATTATTTACGGGATTGTTACCGTGTACCTTGTTTTTAGCGAGTATCCGATAATATGTTTGCCAATAACAGCCTACCCGCAATTACTTCATTTACACCGTGATCATGGCGCTTGCAACAGTGCCGAAATATCGAACACTCGCTAAAAACAAGGTACCTACATGGTAACAATCCCGTAAATAGTTTATATTATTATAATTTTAGTGACCTGATATTCCTATATCACCGTTTTGTTAGAAAGGTTTATACACGTTCTTGTAAGTTGTAAAGTTAAGAATACTGCAGCAATAAAGTTAACTAATTACTTTATCAATGAATCGCTAGATCGTGTTTAAAGATTACAATTTAATTAGGAGGGGCGATGATAACACACGAATGGCAGGAGGGGGAGTCGCTTAAAAAAGGGCCCCACTGACACATTTTACAATGTTAAAAAAAAAGAAGGAAGGGTAGGGTCATACACGATGGGGTGCACTGGATTGGCGAGGGGCAGCATTATCATAAAGATAATGCGCAATTCCATGCCAACGACACAGCAACTGAGCTGAACGACAGATGCTGCGTATCCTAAAACCCTTGTGGAACGTGATAAATATTTCGCGGCAATATTTTTAAGAAATATTGGCACAACGTCGCTATTGTTAACACCTGTTATGTATAATAATATGCTTTAGATGGTTACAATTACTTAGTAAGTGAAGTACCTACTTAGTATTTTTTTTTATTTTAAGTTTAGTTCCCTTTGCAGTACAGTTGCAAATGGTGCAATATTAATAGATATTAATGGAACGCTGTATGACGTTCATACTTTAACATTTAATCATGTTATTTAGCAAGTAATCACGATAATCATAATATAGGATTTGTTGTTCGCATATATAAACGCTTATATTTATTTTCAATAACACCAAAAAGTTATTTGAATATTAATGAGAGCGTAATAACTCCACAAATTCGAGATTCATTTTAGTGCTGAGACTATTAACATTATGTTGAAGGTATATTATTTAATGTCAAGTGGCTAGTGTCGCTACACATGTTGCCGTGACCAGAACACAGCCTAATAATAAACAGTTCCGGGCCACACGCACGATAACATTCATTCGCTTTATAAACATTAATGACGTATTAATAGACAACAGGTAAAATAAAAGCGTGTCAGAGAACAAAATGTTTTGCCGCTCATTTTAAATTTAAATACATTAGCACCATTTAGCTAAGTGTTGCGACTAATGTATAATAAATCATGCATTGTTATTGATACCTACGCTTTAACAGAGAAAGTTGATTGGTTGTATTCGTGAAGCATTGTCAATTTTAAAGAATAGACACTTTTCAATAATATTCTCAACTATTTTTATTGAATTCTATTATAAAAACGCAAATTATTATGGTGTAACGGCATTTACTTAATTAGTTCTGGAATTAATATTCACTTTCTGCGTTCATTGTAATAAGACTATCTCATATATTATTATTATGTTTAACTTTTAACATGTAGGGGGAAAACACACAAAAAAAATGTTGTTTTTTTTGTTAATTTACTAATATTCAGAGAATATTATATATATCCTTGCCGAATAACTGATTTCTAAAACTAAGTCTTTGGGCTAAGCTGGGCTATAAGATTCCATATGGCATTCAAGACAAGTGCGAGTCGGGCTCGCCCACCAAGGGGTTTCATACAAATTTGTAGACCGTACGCAACATTAACGGCCGTATCTTTTTTACGTTAGCTAAGAAGTCTGATGCTCCCGAGATAAAGGGTCTTGACAGACAGACAGAAAAACGGCCGTATCTTTTTTTCACATTAACTTAGTACTTTGATTTTCACAGCTTCAAGGGACCGCAGACTTGAGTATATGCGTATATAAATTTTAACTCGATACCTCCATGCGTTATCGAGATATAAGGTCTTGTCAGACAGACAACAAAGTGATCTTATAAGGGTTCCATTTTTTTCTTTTCAGGTACGCAACCCTAGAACTAACAAATTAGCTCAAGCATGGTGGTCTTTAATGGCTTGACTAAGTTGTTTTGAGTAAGAGAATCTTTACCAAGTTCAGGTAATATAAAAGTCATAAAATATGTCGATGTAACATTTTTCATTTAGAAGTAAAAACGAAAACCCCAAACCTCTAAGATTGCAATCAAAGCAAATTCTCTGGAGGACTTTTATATAATTTCTACCAAAGATTATATATAATTCATTTTAGCGTCATAAAAAAGTTATCACGAATTCACAGCAGAGAGAGCTATTTTTCTGTCGGTGGAGTAGACTTGGTCCCTTGGGCAAACAGGACCAATAGACGTTCCCCAAAATTATTTTGTTTCCTTCTTAAAGTAAGTATGTGACTATAATTCAACTATACGTTGAATTCTTTTATAATTACCACTAATGTATATTATAAAAGCGAAAGTTTGTTTGGATGTCTTTCACGCAAAAACTACTAAATGGATTTTAATGAAACTTTACAATAATTTAGCTCATACATCAGAATAAAATATTGGCTATAATTTATGAAGCATTGAATATAATACAAAACATGTTCTAAAAAGATAACTTTAAATTTAATTATCGCTATTATCGTCATTGCCACAATCATTATACAATGGAATTGGGAGTACTTATTGCACTTACTTTGTTACTTCAAAGAATAACTTAACCTCTCTGCATGACACATTAAGTGTAGAAATGTGCAAAAAGAACGTTCGAAAAGCAAATCAATTATTATATTGTCAATTTAAACGACAACAACAAGTCGCTGTCGAATATAATTAGCATCGGTCAATAACTCAGTAGGCCACGAGGTAATAATTGCCTACCGCTACGTCACAAAGTGGTCCCACCTTGGCGAATGGTCCGCCCGCCGGCAATGGTCATTCGTTTTAATAGCTAAACCAACCGCAAATATTTGTATATATAACTAATGTGAACACAATCAATGTTTATAATCTAAGTTGTAGATTCATAACTTTTAGTAAGTTATTTTATAAAGTTACGACGAATAAGTGGCGTTTGGGGCGCATTAAATTGCATTATGTTTTTAATCTGAAGGCAGCCAGGCAGCCGCAGGCGTTAAGTTCAATTTGGCGGAGCTGCTTAATTATCACGGCTGGTGATTAATTAAGTCATCAGACTAGCTGAGTTAAGAGCAGTGCGGATTATAATACTGAACTACATGGTTAATGATCATTTATCGCAATATTAAAGGTAAGTATTTACGATAAATTAACTCCAGCTAGCTACTACGGTTAAAATTAACTCCAAAGTAAAATACCAGGAATAAATAACAATGTTCGTTTTGCGCTAAGCACTTTTGAAAATAAAAGCTTGGCCTATATTTTGCAACTAAGATAAATAATATAGTTTTTAATAAAAAACGGAACCCATATTGCTGTCACTGTCGTCGTCTCTCTGTCTGTATGTTAAGGAACGAGAGCTAATATTTTGGTATTAATTGGAGAATGCTTGCCTAAAGGCGAATATATACCTGTATAGAAATAATCTATTTTATTTGAACACATAACATAATAGTTATAGTTAACACAAACATAGGCGCAGTCATTCATAAAAGACACTCTCATCCAATAAGTGCTACAGATACACATGTTATTCAAAAACAATTATATCAAACGGAAAAAAAATCTGAAGACTGTTATGAAAAAACTTACACCAGGCGGCGGTAGTTTAAAAAAAATACAACAATGAATAGATTTCCAACGGTCGGGTTGTACACAATTATAAAAAAAAAACAGGTAACCAGGTACCTACATAACTAAGGCCGTATACATAAAGGAAGCCGATTAAAGCAGATCAAGCAAAATGTCGGACTCATCGGACGATGATTTGGTTTTGTTAGAAAATGTTTATTTAAAAATGCGAAAAACAGCTATACATCCTATAAATAGAGGAAGGAAACGTTTCGGAGAATACCATCATTTATTTGTAAAAAAAAATAAATTTGATAAAAAAAAAGATTTTATACATATACAAGAATGACTCAAGAAACATTTTATTACATTTTGGATTTA